CGCGGTGCGGCTGGAGGCGTTTATCTTCGACGTACAAACGCTTTTTATTTGGCTTCGGCTTTATAGGCCACCTCATCAAGTCAATCAGGCAATCGCTCTGGCCTTTTCACGACCACAACTGAGTACAAGGACGTCATAGTAGCTCGGAGGATGTAGGGGGTGATAGCGAAAAGTTGCTATTGTATTAGCCTCCCGTCGACAAGCTAATTGCCCAGTGGTGGCAAGAATGAACGAGATTGGACCCCAAAAATGGCAGGAGCTCTAAGTCCCTGAGCTCATTTACTGGAATGGGCTTCTCTTCCTAATTTTCAGATTTTTTTCGTCCAAATTAGTTACTGTGACTTAATGACATTAATGACATTTTCCTTACTTTTTAAATGGGGATTCACATTTCTGCATAATAAATGATGTAAACAAAGTCATTCAGAGTGGTTTAATGAGAAAAGTGTTTTCACTGAGTCACAGTTGTTCACGGTGCTGGTGATCATGTGAAATGTTATGAATACACTGCCTGATACTTGACTCATACAGTCATATGCAAAAGTTTGGACATGCCAGTCAAATTACATGTTCTAGTAGAGTTTAGTTGAATATATTGGATTATATATGTCGTTACTGTCCAATGAAAAGCATGAATCTCCATTTTAATCGATTTTTAGTTTATTACCTCATTTGAACACGGCAGCTGTCCTTCACATTGTGTCAAAATCTTGTTGATTAGACCAATAGAAATGCTTCAAATTCACCTATAATAAAAAAGCTTTACATTAACTTACATTAAATGTTGAGAAGGGTTTTTCCTTCTTCCATCAAGTTACTATTTTGTGTATAAATGTTTTTCTGATGGTTTTCTAATGATGATCTTATGGTGTTCTGATCATGTTCTGAAGGTGTTCAAATGGTGTTCTTATGGTGTTACGTTGGTGTTCTGATGGTTTTCTAATGATGTTCTTATGGTTTACCAACTGTTTTTATGTTGGTTCTAATGGTTTTCTGATGGTGTTCTAAAGATGTTCTGGTGGTTTTCTCATGATGTTTTATTGATGTTCTAATTGTGTTATAATGGTGTTCTAAAAGTGCTCTGATGGTGCTCTGGTGGTTTTCTTACAGTGTTCTTAAAGTTTTCTGGTGGTGTTCTAGATGTGTTCTGATGGTGTTCTAATGGAGTTGTGGTGGTGTTCTGGTCATGTTGTAGTGATGTTCTTAATGTGTTCTTACACCAGAACCAGACCTTTTCCAAGTAATGTTGAGCTGTCCATTCATTAAAAAACTGAAAAATAACAAAAATGGAGATATGAGGTTTTGTCTGTATATATATATATATATATATATATATATATATACATATATATATATATATATATGTATATATATATATATGTGTGTGTGTGTGTTTGTGTGTGTGTGTGTTTGTGTGTGTGTGTGTGTGTGTGTGTGTGTGTTGTGTGTGTGTGTGTGTGTGTGTGTGTGTGTGTGTGCGCGCACGTGTGAGTTTAATAAATATTTTTTTAATTCAGTAAATAAACAGTAACTGCAGTAATTGTGTATTAAAGTGTGCAGAAGCGTGTTCTCTGTAGAGGATGTGTTATAAAATCAAAAGAACATATTGTTTAACCAAGGGTGCACAAACATTTGCATCCAGCTGTGTACGCTGCGTACAATATCAGCAACTTCATCTTGAGGGGGAACTCCAAGGGGAACTACATATTCATATACACATTTATTCAAATGTGTATAATAATATGTAATCTTGACGCTGGTTAAATAGTGATACATCTGAAATCTGGTTTCTTGTGGGACTATTTTGCCTTAAAACGCCCTGCATGTACCCCTCCACCATGAATGGATAAAAATTGTACATACATGTTTTATGTCAACATATTCTCAAATCTATCATAAAGCAATGTCTTAGACATCAGTCAGCATATTCATAAACCTTTCATGTAATAACTTTCTGTGAGGGAGCTTTTAGAGGTGGACGTCTGATTCCTATCACCACCACTGTGAACAATTCTGACTCTATAGAGAGAGCATTTCACACCAAACCACTCTGAATGATCTTAATTGTTGAGCCCGTGTTACAAAAAACAATATATGTGTCATAGAATCATATAAGTCTGGTATAGCGTTGTTTGACACCCTGTGTTTAAAATGAAGTGGTCACTAAGATGCGAATAAAACATAGTTTGGCTTTTTAATGTAAAGGTTGTACAAAATAAAATAGAAAAACAAAAAAATCTAACAAAAAAGGGGAGAATGCTTAATATATGTTTTTTGTTGGAGGGGCTCATTTAATTATTCAGAATTTTTGAAAAACAGTCCTTTAATACACCTCCAGCATCCTTGGAGGGAAGAGCACATCTTAGAAGAAAAGCAGGGTCCCAAGATGTCTCCATTTTACGAGACATCGTATTCTCATATGGCTCAATCAGCCGCAGACAGGCCCTGCCCCCAGCTCTGCACCTTTAGGCTATTCTCCGTGAGGGGCTTTGCCCTGGAGTAATCACCGCTTGGCGTCTGAGGACTGCAGCTTTCTAAAGCCTGGGCTTACCCAAGCCCACGGCCTGCGGTTCTCTGAAGTCCCTGATTTGGTGCCTCTCGGTACCACAGAGAGCGTCTCCGCATGGGGCCTCTGAAGTGCCGAGGGCAGCTATTTGTTGTTGCGGATTTGTTTATGCGTTATTCTGAAAATATGCATATTTTATTCGAAAACATGGACTGTGGACATATATAGAGTTTACACGTGACCTGATGCCTGGCCTTGTGTTCTCATCAGAGTGTTCATGTTGGATTTAAATGATTGAAATGTTACCAGCTGTTCCCTGCAGAGCATGTGCCCAAAATAGCCGTTGTTGCTGAACGCTTGCAGCAGTGGTCACCGGGTGCTGCTGTAGGCATGAGGTGAAGAGCAAACTGACCAAAGAGGGCAGAATCTCTGAAATGGTCATTTTATAGAAGAGAGAAAAATGGGAAAGGGGAAGTCCACTGATTTTTCTAAATCTATGCATAATTAAATGGTTGAGATGTAAACAGAGTCATTCAGAGTGGTTTGGTGTGAAACGCTCTGTTCTAGAGAAACTTGCAGAGTCAGAATTGTTCACAGTGGTGGTGATAGGAACCAGACGTCCACCTCTAAAAGCTGCCTCACAGAACGTGATTACATGACGTGGATAGATTTGAGATAAAATTTTGGCCTAAGACTTATTTTTTTTAATTCATTCATGGTGGAGGGGTACACTCAGGACGATGTAGTCCCCAAATACATGATATTTTCAGGTTTATCACTTTTTTACCATCTTAAACATTCCATGTAAAACTCAGAAGAGACATGTACGTTCCCTGGTGGTTTTGGATAGTAAATAAAATGGCTATATCTGTGTTGTAGTCATGGTGACCCCTGGTTCCTAGAACAGAGCATTTCACACTAAACCACTCAGAATGACTCTGTTTACATCTTAACTGCTTAAGTAAACAGATTTTTTTTAATTTGGTGGAATTCCCCTTTTTCTTTAAAAGCATGATGTACAAACCATGTAAGGTGCGTCAGTTCATGTGTCGTGAGGCGTCATATATCATCAGATGACACTGCTGGGAAACGCTGTTCTAAACATCTTCTTAACGCTGCGTACCCTCACAGTCTTTTATTTTTTCCTCTGCTCACCGCGCACAAGGTCAGCGAGTGCAGCACGCAGAGGCTTTTATTTTGTCTTTCTGACGTCTGACCCTTCACGAAAGAAAGTCACCTCACTGTGGACTTTAACAGACTGAGCACCCGGAGTCAGCTGAGAGAGAGAGACTAACATCATCTGCTGAGAAAGAGAGAGAGAGAGAGAGAGAGAGAGAGAGAGAGAGAGAGAGAGAGACTAACATCATCTGCTGAGAAAGAGAGAGAGAGAGAGAGAGAGAGAGAGAGAGAGACTAACATCATCTGCTGAGAGAGGGAGAGAGAGAGAGAGAGAGAGAGAGAGAGAGACTAACATCATCTGCTGAGAGAGGGAGAGAGAGAGAGAGACTAAAATCATCTGATCAGAGAGAGAGAGAGACAGACAGAGAGAGAGGTTGTGGACACTAACAGAGAAAGAGAGAGATTAAGATACTGAGAGGACAAGAAAGGAAGGGACATTAGAAGAGGAAAGAAAGAGAGAGGAAGAGAGGGAGGAGAAAGAGAGAGGAAAGAGAGAGGAGAGAGAGGGAGAATAGAGGGAGAGAGAGAGAAGGAGGAGACACTGGGAAGAGCAGAGGGAGGCACATTAGAAGAGAGAGAGAGAGAGAGAGAGAGAGAGAGGAGAGAGAAGAGACACTGGGAAGAGCAGAGGGAGGCACATTAGAAGAGAAAGAGAGAGAGAGAGAAAAGAGACACTGGGAAGAGCAGAGGGAGGCACGTGAGGAGGGGGGGGGCATTGAGAGAAGAGGAGATGGACATTTAAAGAGAGTGGAAAGAGGGAGAAGAGAGAGAGAAAATGAAGAGACACTGGGAAGAGCAGAGGGAGGCACATTAGAAAAGAGGGAGAGAGAGGGAGGGGAAAGGAAAGACATTGAGAGAAGAAGAGGGACATTTAAAGAGAGTGAAGAGAGAGAGTAAGGGAGGGAGAGAGAGCGAGGGAGAGGAAGGAGAGAGAGGGGGAAGGAGAGAGAGAGGGAGGGAGGAGAAAGAGGAGAGGGAGAGAGAGGAGAGGGAGAGAGAGGGAGGAGAGAGGAGAGTGGAAGGGAGAGAGAGGAGAGAGAGAGGGAGGAGAGAGAAAGAAAAGAGAGAGGAGAGAGAGGGAGGAAAGGGAGAGGGAGGAGAGAGACAGAAAAGAGAGAGGAGAGTGGAAGGGAGAGGGAGGAGAGAGAGAGGGAGAGGGAGGAGAGAGAAAGAAAGAGGAGAGAGAGGGAGGAGAGAGGGGGAAAGAGAGAGGAGAGTGGAAGGGAGAGGGAGGAGAGAGAGAGAGAAAGAGGGAGGAGAGAGAGAGAGAGAGGGAGGAGAGAGAGAGAGAGGGAGGAGAGAGAGGGAGGGGAGATAAACAGAGAGAGTTGTGGGTGAATCAGAGGCTGATCTCTGTTCTCTGTGCTCTGCGTTCTGTTCTGTGCTGGTGAAGCAGAATCGACTCCCGCTCGGTGTGTGTGTGTGTGTGTGTGCGCGCGCGCGCGCATGTGTGTGTGTTTGTAAGTGTGCGCGCGCGCGTGTGTGGACCCGGGGGCTGCTGCCTCCCTCCTCACGGAGACATGAAGTACAGCGCGCGCTCCCTCTGCTCCTCGCCGGCGCGCTCTCCCATCGGCGGCTAGCGCTCTGCCCGCGAGCCTGATCAGCTGAAGTTGCGCCGTTTTTCTGACCGCCGCTCTCGCGCTCCGGGCTGGAACATGTCTTGAGAAAGAGAAGCGTGGATAAAGATGACAGTAAGTCTCTCTCTCTCTCTCTCTCTCTCTCTCTCTCTCTCGGTCTGAGTGTTCAGCACGTTTATTTCTGACCGCAGTTTATTTGTGGAGCTCCGCGAGCGGCTGAGCCCAGATTTACACTCTCCCGTGCGCTATTCTTACTTTATCAGGCAGAATCAAGCAGCGCTGTCCTGCCCGGTCCTGCTGGCCACTGCGCTGGGCTCTGAGAGGCGGTTTTGCGGCCGCACCTCTGTCCTCTGTTGCCGGGCGGAGAGCAGCTTCTCACATTCACTTTTTTTAGGACATTACATCATGAGCGAGTCGGCGAGTGAGTGACTGCGCGATTCCTGACGATTTTCACTTCCAGCACTGGGTGTTCCGTGTTTCCGTGTTTCCGCTGCGCTACTTAATTCATTCCTTTTTTCTTTCTTTCTTTCTTTTTATTACTGTCCTGTTATTTTTAATTTTATTGGCTGCGCAGTGTTGCTGCTGACGCGCGCGCACGGTGACGTTTGGGAGAGGCTCAGTGTACACACTTAAACAAGACGGGTCTTTAAAGGTTCTTTAGTTGAGACAATACAGAACCATGAACACTCAAAGAAGCCTTTCGTTCTTCAGATTGGTGGATAATGTGTTCTGTGTAGAACCCTTTTGAAAAAGGTTCTATATGGCACCAAACAGGGTTCTTCTACACTGTTAAAAAAGGTGGTTCTTCAAGGGTTCTTTAGTAGCTCTGTTCAGAACCAGGAGTCCTATATAGAACCATTTGCATGCTCTTTCTATGGTGAAATGGTTCTTTAGACTGATGGAGAATGTTCTGTATAGCACCAGAAAGGGTTCTTCTATGCTCTCAACAAAGACCATGAACATCCATGGAACCATTTGCATGGTTAAATGGTTCTCTGCATGGTGAAATGGCAGATGGAGAGTACACACTTAAAAAAGATGGTTCCTTAAGGGTTCATATAGAACCATGAACATTCAAAGAACCCCTTACGTGATAAAATGGTTCTTTCCACTGTTGAAGGGTTATTCAGATTGTGTTTTATATAGTTCTACACAGAACCTTTTTGAAAAGGGTTCTATATGGCACCAAAAAGGGTTCTTCTATCATTACAGGCTTAACAATAGAAGAACCCTTTTTGGTGTTGTATAGAACTTCTTTCAAAAAGGTTCCATATAGAAGCATATGCAGCACATTCTCCATGCAAAGAACCATTTCCTTTCATATGAAGAATGGACAGGGCTTTATATAGATCTCATGGTTGCTAAAGAACCCTTAAAGAACCATCTTTTTAAGAGTATATGTACATTTAGACATCCATACATGCATTTATATATGCACGTGAAATGTTCTATTTTCACACGCACATATAAATGTACACTATATATATATATATATATATATATATATATATATATATATATATGTACACATATATGTATATATACATAATGTGCACGTGCAGTGTTTTGGTTCCATGTCATCAGCATAAGCTCCAGTGCAGTTTAGTGTATGTATGTGTATATATATATATATATATATATATATATATATATATATATATATATATATATATATGGAATATATATACATATATCACAGTGCAGCATATCTCTAACAAATAATGAATCAGCTATAAAGAGGGGCAGATTTAAAGGAGGTGCGCGAGCGCAGCTGTTCATTTGCATGAATTGTGTGCCACTGTGCCGGTTAATCCGTAAAGAGATGATAAACCCCGAGCAGGTCCCGCCACGACCCCCTGCCCGTCCTGTGGATTTTCCCTCACTTTAAATAATTACACTCGTCGATAATAGAATAAAAACACTATGAGAGATGAGCTAAATCATAAAATAAATAAAAAATCACGCGAGCAATCCGGTGCCCTTTTAAGCCGCGGCGCATGCGCAGATTCAAAAAGAGGATTCCCGCGGCTCGCTTCAGACGGAGCTCTCAGAAACATCAAACATATCCTGTGTGACCGACGAGGAAGCGTTTACCGCTGAAACTGTCCGCGAAGAGCTGCTTCGACACCGCTGTTGGGTTTACAGCGCTGTATGATGGAGAAAGGAGTGTCACGCGAAGGAGCCGTAACGCTGCGGTGGAGTCGATGAGCGTTACGGTGAGATGTGAGGAGAGTTCTGCCAAAATGTGGATTTCTCGGCATAACGTCAAACAGTATTGGCTTTTTCTGTTCCCCTGTTTAAGCTGACGGTTTTAGACGTTTAATCTACGGCGAGTGAGCGTACGCAGTCCAGTTTATGTACGTTACGTTGCCTGGGTGACGTTATATAGGTTACGTCGTTTACGTTGCGTGTATTTTGCTTGAACCTTTTGCCTTGTTGGCCTTTTTCGTCAGGAGTGAAGCAGGAAATGCATATTGTAGTAACTGAACGGCACAGTCCTGTAATGTTGTTACACTGATCAACTATAGCATTAAAACCACCTCCTTGTTTCTACATTGTCCATTTTATCAGCTCCACTGACCATATAGGAGCACTTTGTAGTTCTACAGTTACAGTCTGTAGTCCATTTGTTTCTCTGCATGCTGTTCTTCATTGGTCAGGACCCCCACAGAGCAGGTATTATTCAGGTGGTGGATCATTCTCAGCAGTGACACTGACGTGGTGGTGGTGGTGTGTTAGTGTGTGTTGTGCTGGTCTGAGTGGATCAGACACAGCACAGTGTTGTTGGAGTCCTGTGGGCAGCATCCTGTGACCACTGATCAAGGACTAGAGGATGACCAACACAACCTGTGCAGCAGCAGATGAGCTACTACTATTGGCTTTACATCTACAGGGGGGACCAACAAGACAGGAGTGTCTAATAGAGTGGACAGTGAGTGGACCCAGTGTTTGAACACTCCAGTGGTGTATACTAATATAGGTGTCTGAATTCATCTGGTTCCATTGTTGACAGGTGTCCAGTTATGTTGTATAATCTCCATAGAAAAGCACTGACTGCTTGGTCAGGGGTCTTCCTGGCCTGCTGTTGTTGAATGACTGTGCAGACCACTAAGTGGTCAAGTGCCTACATTACTGCAGCTGCTCAGTAAGTTCCTGCAGGTTGTTTGAACTCTGTTGATTTGTTGGTAATAAAAAGCAGCGGCGTCCTCGAGGTGACGACGAGCCAACTTGAAGCCTCTAAACTGGACGTTCTCATTAGCTTTGTAATCAATCACACCGCTATAAACAACAAACACGAGTCAAGGTTAGTTTGCCACGGTTTGAACTTTGAAATCATTGACTTTAAGCTCAGACAGTGGGAAGTCTTGCTCTGACTGGGTGGTTATATGGCAATATGGCAAAGTTCGTGTGGCCTTTTTTTCAATAACAGACATTGCTGTGCGTTCTGTTGAATGGCTACACACATGTAAGGGTTATTTGACTGCTGCAGTAGTGCCTAGTTGTTATCATTTGCATGTTGGGTTGTATTTATATGTAATTATACGTCAGTGCACTGCAATTATGATCCCTGAATATAAACTGGTGGTGGCCAAAAGGCCACAAAAATAGTCCAGCAGTTCCTGCTTAAATAAAGTCCGCATCATTTTGGGTAAATAACTGGGTTAGGTCAAGGCAGCTTCCTAAAGGGGCATTCCACCAATTTTTCCAAATTTCTGCATAATTAAATCAGTTGTGTTTACATGCACTTAATAATCTGATAACTGCAGAAAATCTGGTTTTGTCAGTAATTCGATCAACGCATTTACATGCACTTGAATTGTAATTGAATTGTAATTGGATTTCTGCTTTGCAACCAGCCAACAAACTCACAGAAGAAGATGGAAACGTAATGTAAAAATCAAATTTTTTTTTAAAACGTCGTGCCACTTTACCTGAAAATATGAACATACATCATCTAGAAGATGAAGAATATTTAAATCCTTCATTTCGTCAAGCATGTATTTGGTTTTAGTGTCGCTCCAAAAGTGTTTTGCTGCGTCTAGCTGCAATGCTGCTCGCTTATTTCTGGTACCGCCATCTGTTTTTCACTCATGCGCAGACTGAGAAATCCGAAAGAAATCAGAGTAAGAGTTTACATGCAAATCTGAGCTCTCTTTGTCAGATTTCTAGATCGGACTATGCTGTTTACATGACCATTTGAATAATCTGCTAACTGCAGAAATCTGATTATGAATGAATTATTCAGTGCATGTAAACACACTCTATGTCGTTTGGAGTGGTTTGATATTAAATGCAAGATTTAATGTCAGAGCTGTTCACAGTGGTGGTGATAGGAACCAGACGTCCACCTCTAAAGGCTCCCTCCCAGAAAGGTATTACATTAAATGGTTATGAATTCACTGCATGATGCCTTGTTTTACGATGGTTTTGAGATAAAGTTTCAGTCCAACACATTTTTAACCCAATTCATGGTGGAGAGGTACATGTACGTTGTTGTATGGCAAAATAGTTTCCAAAACCTCACCGCAAACCTCTAGTTTCACCACCACTGTAAAGAAATCCAAGTCAGTTCACATCAAACCTCTCTGAATGGCTTCATTCACTGTACTGATTGAATTGTGCAGACGTTTTGAAAAATCTGTGGCGTTCCTCTTTAAATCGGCGGTCTTCAGTTTGGTTAATTCAACAGAGTAATTCCCTTCATCGTTTACATGTGCTCATCAATCTGTCTGGCAGTTTTTCGAAACTGGCTCTGAATTAAAAGGTGGAAATGGCTGAACTGGAGCGGAATTGAGCAAGAATGATTATTATGGACTACAGAGGGAACATCTGAGTCAGCTTGTCATTCATTAGGAGTCTAGAAGCGCACACTGTCTGTCTATCCGTGGAGAAATCAGCGCTTGCTGATCCAGCCAGACTTAAAGCGGTGGAAAGAGGGAGCGAACGGAGACCCAGAGGGCGGTGCGTCACACGGCATCCGTCACCATGCCAAGAAAATGCATGCAGGAAGGAAAGGCCTCCTGTGGCAGGAAGCCTGATTGTGTTTCTGGTGTGGAACTGCAGCACTGAAGTCACTAATCTACGTGTGTGCACATTTCCCAAAATCCTCCAGCGCTTCTCTCCGTTTCCTCCAGCTAACCACCCCCCCCCGCCACAACCCCTCCAGCTCACCCTGTTCACCTCCCCTCTCTGATTTTTTTGTTTGTTTGTTTTCCTTATCTCTCCATGACATATGACTGGCTTTTTTGTGTGCATCACAAAGATTCTGTTGTACAGTGCTGTGTGAGGTAGGCCAACTGTTTCAAAATATTCATGTGAGCAGTAAATGGCTTTGAGAAAACAATGTAACATTATAATAATTACATAATAAATGTGAATTTCTGGTTTTCAGTTAAGATATTCCTACCAACTTCAGCAATAAGTCTGTTCTTTACTCTGCTTTTGTGCTGGGTTACCTCCAAAACAGGACACTACACCTATTTGGCCTTAAAGCAGCACTATGTATGTTTTTTGTGGTTACTAAGTGAAGAGAAAAAGCACAAAATATGGTGTGCATGCGCTGCTACAAGTCCACCTGTAAAGCCTGAAATAATCACCTAAAAGTCAGAGGTGTTGGGACAGTATGTCTTTACGTACGGTGTGGATATAGGCTCAAAAAGAAGGTGCAGCTCGATGTTTAGGTCTCAAATGATCTCAAAATCAACATTATTCTGATAAAGATATGATGGCAGTAGATCCGTCCTTCACCAAATTTTGAGTTCTCTTCAAATTCTCTTTCAATCATCAGATGCAACTGATGATACAAAATGTTCCTCTGAATGTTGCGCGCAATGACACATTTCCACCAGAGAGGTCTCCAAATCCCCAAATGTTACATAGTACTGCTTACGTTTGTATTTATTTAGCGTAGAGGGTGGCGAACTGAGGGTCGTAGTCCAGTTTGGGATTTCCCTTCTCTAGCACATCTACTTAAACTGGTAATTAGCTGAGGAGTTGAATCAGGTGTGCTTGAGCAGGTAGCACCAAACTGTGCAGGAATCTGGCCCTCCAGGACCAGAGTTCCCCACCTCTGATTTAGCTGAATCAGGCTGTAATTCAGCTCTCGTCTTAGGTCATAATTCCCTGGGCACTTTGTATCGGATTGGTGTCCAGTATTTGCAGATTTTACTCATTTTCTGGATACAAATTTTTAATAAATGAATAAAAATAAATGTCTAGCATTACATTTATATTCAAGCTGTGCAATGTATTGCAGTACTGGCCTTCGCAATAGTGCTATTGCAGAAGGCTGCAATATGCAAATATGCTCAAGCACAAAATATAGTGTATGCTTTGACCATCCTGACCAACCTCAGATAGTCCAGACGGGTTTCTATGAGTGTTGAAATGCATTGAGGCTTTGAAGTTTTTCTTCTTTTCGATGCACTCAATCTGTTGCATTGACTTCCATCAGCAGATTTAATTTAATGAAGGACTGAATAGTCAAACTAAGTATTAGATGGTAAATACAAATACTGACCTACCTTTAAGAGGGGATTGGAAATGGTTAAGCTAACATGTTAACACATAAAATCACAATGTATTGTATTAAGCCCTGTGTTTATTTGTATTGATTCTATTGTTATTTTGATACTAGTGTTTTTCTGATTCCACTAGTTTTTCAATGTAAACAATCATTCAGAGTAGTTTGATGTGAGACAGCTAATTGTAGAGAAATGTATCAATCAAGATTTCTTCACAGTGGATACACCACAAATAAAGCCTACAACACAAATAAAGCCATTTTATTTACTACCCAAAACCACCAGTGAGCCTACACGTGTCTTCTGAGTTTTTATATGGAATGTTGGAATGTTGATGGTATAATGGTGGTGAATCTGGCTCCTATTTTGCACTACAGTGACCTGCATGTATCTCTCCATCATGATGTCTGAGACATTGCCTTACTATTAGTCATCAGGCAGTGCATTTGTAAATATTTTATATAACTTTCTGTGAGGAAGCTTTTAGAGCCATTAAGCTTCTCAGATGTCTGGTGCCTCTCACCACCACAGGAACTTTGAAAACTTTGGTGGAGTTCCCCTTTAAACACTAATTGCCCAGATATATAGCTTTAAGTGTATTGTTCTCAGGGGGCATAATGCAATATGAAAAGAAACTCCTGAAACTTATTCTCTCTCTCTCTCTTTCTCTCTCTCTCTTTCTCTCTCCTGTCAGGATTACCGGGAGGATGGCATGGACCTGGGGAGCGACGCCTCCAGCCGCTCCGGCTCCGAGGCCAATTCCAACAAGGTGACGCCATGCTCGGAGTGCAAGTCCTCGCCCAGCCTGGAGCTGGCCGCCCTGGAGGACTACGAGGAAGAGGACGAGGACTACCAGCAGTACAAGAAGAGGGTCATTGAGGACTGGGAGAGTGAGTACGGCACCGATTATGCCGACAACCGGGGGCCGGCCGAGGACGACGGAGCCTTGCGGAAGCCGGCAAACAGCCGCAGCCTGGCCGAGGAGCTCCAGGATGTTAAGGGCCCTTCGCCGCCCCTGACAGGCCAAACCACGGCCACCCGGGCGGCTGCCGTGCCAGAGGAACTCAAGCAGAATGGAAACCTGATCCTGCCCAATACTCACCACCTCTTGTCCCCAAGCTCTGGCGGGGGCAAGGGCCTGGCCAAGCCTGGACACAGGAGCCCCGGTGCGGGCGGAGGCGGCGGGACGGGGCCTGGGAGCTGCTACCGCCTCGGGGGTTACAGAGAGGAGAACGTGGTGGAGGAGTCTCAGCTCCCCACCATGGACTGGGCGGCGCTGGAGAGGCACCTGGCCGGCCTGCAGTTCAGGGAGCAGCAGGAGAACCAGAACCAGGGCCTGGGCCGGACCAACTCCACCAACGTGAGTCACAGCACTGCTCTTTACTCTGCTTTCTGGGCTGGGTTACCCCAAAAGGAGGCTGGTCTTAAATGTCCTGCAGGTCTTCATTTGTATTTGTTGAACTAAATCCGGCAGTGATGCAGGTCAGGTCTTTTAGGTCACTCCTTACGTTCTCCTATCCCAAGTTGGTTTGGTTTCCATTGTTTGCACATTTTCTGGATTTTCAGGCCTTTGGCAAAATCTGCTGGAACACATTTAGGTTGTCATGTTTATAAATCAGCATCCTTAACCCCTAAAACTACATAACTATCATTAGGGATGTGCAAAATATTGTGTCTGATTTGTTATTGCAGCATTGGCCTATATTGAATATGCAAATATGATGCTACTTGACCTTCCTGACCAACGTCAGATGGTTCAGATGAGTTTCTGTGAGTCACTGAATCTCACATGATCCAAAAACATGAATAAATTTGGTCCGAATGCAAGTTTTAGCCCTGTCACATCAGTGTGTTTCAGTATACTGCAAGGCATGTTTGTCTATTTCATGCAGCCCTAACACACATATCAGTTTCATAACATTTAACATTAATACAAAAGCAGCTGATATTGTAAAATCAGTCCTAGGATTAATAACTGAATAATAAGCTTGCAGATTGAGGGGTTAAACAAAGCTGCAGAATCTGATGTATGTTGTAAACAGCATAGTCAAATTCCAAAATGTCCACTGTTATTAAAGGTGAATCCCACTTATTTTTAAAGCTTCTGCATAATTTGGTGATTAATATGTTAACAAGGTCATTCAGAGTAGATGTAAAAGGCTCCATTCTACCAAGTCAGAATTGTTTACAGTGGTGTTGATAGGAACCAGACGTCTGGAGAGTTCCTCTAAATTCCTCTAAAATTCTTTTCACAGAAACTTATTACATGAAATGGTTATGAATACACTGCCTGATGCCCGAGTCTCTGTTTTACACTAGTTTTGAGGTTTTGGATAGTTAATAAAATGTCTACGCTTGTGTTGTAGACATTGTAACCCCTGGTTCCTATCACCACGTGACAAATGACATCTGAAACTCCTGGATTATGCAGAAATCTAAAAAAATGGTGGAATTCCCCTTTATTAACCGTTAAACGCAAATGCAATGCAGATCTACCACCAGCATTTACATGGAGTTTAAAAGGTTTAAATAGATGTTTTTGTTGTGCTCAAATAAGACCCTGCAGCACTTTTGCACTGCTTGCTACAGGGGCGTTTTGAGGGATGGGATTTCTCAGCATACAAACTTAGACACAAACAAGTGAGCCATCACAGCCAACCACAGACCACTATATTAAATTCCACAGTAATGCATTCCAGTAAGCAGATGTCCATTTGGAACTCTGGTGCCGAGACTAGCTTCAGTCAGAGGGTCGTTGGAGACGAAGTGTTAGTCAAAAAAGTGACCTGACGATTGGTGGAAAGGCGTGTAATGTTGTCATGCGTTCAGTTAGCGTGCCATATGGTGTGAAAGACTGGTCACCTGTGAATTCTGAATGGTGCTGTCCTCAAAATCTGATCTGGAGAGGCTTATTCTTATCGCATCTGTTCTCCGGATCATGTGTCCATGTGTGTGTTTGCAGGCTTACGTTACAGCAATGCTCTGTCACGTTTCCGTTTATCGTTCCTAAAGCATGATGAAATAATCCTGCAGTCATGCTTGGTGGAAAACCTGAATATTAGCCTATAAATTAGAAACGTCCTTTAAGCTGAGCGATTAGCGCGCATTATGAGACCCTAAGCTATTTGCAGCTTTATGCCCAGCTGTGAGAAAAAGAGTGAAAGAGGTTATGAAATTCAACAGCTGGTGTTTCCAGCAGGCTATTTATAGTGTATACTGTTAACAATTGACAGCCAGTGCAAATGCCACTGACATAACACCCTGTTTTCTTTCTGCGGGGGTCCTGGGCCCCGTTTACAGCTGTCCGCGTGGTGTCTTGCAAACTGACCCAGGAGCAGAAATAGAACTGTGATTACGCCCACTTCCTGGTACTGTGTATGGTGGGTTCAGCAGAGGTTCATATCAAGGCTGGCTCAGTAGAGGGCGCTGTTGCAGTGCTGAAGAGGTTTCTGCTCAGCCTCTCCCTCATACACTGCTGCAGTGAAATCGGATGCCCACCCGTCACTGCTTTTTTATGCTTCACAGTCACTGAAATCAGGCTGAGCGATATTGATGCATTTCAGTATCATCATATTTTCCTAATCACTTTATCAAATGAAGTTAGCATTAATGAAGTTAATGAGCCTGTGCTTGTGAAATGCTCTGTTCTTGAGAAACTTAGAGTAGGAACTGTTCACAGTGGTGGTGATAGGAACCAGACGTTCCTGATGCCAGTAATATTTTTTACAGTAGTTTTGTAAAAGTTTCAACCTCAAAAAATTTTAAATCATTGGTTGGAGTGGAGAGGTGCATGAAGGGCAAAATATTCCCCAAAATGTATTTGAAAACGTCTTTACCACAATTTTGCCATCATCAGTATTCCATATAAAGCTCACGTGCAGGTTCGCTGGTGGTTTTGGATAGTAAATAAAATGGATATATTTGTGCTATAGTCAACTACTCTGAATGATTCATCTCAACCACTGAAGCAGAGATTAAAAATATGGTGGAATTCTCGTTATAAGGAATTATTTAATATTTTATGTTTTATAAACAAGTGTGGCATGTCTGCATGGAATGGGGGTTGTTTAAGTTAGAATTCAGCAGCTCAGGGTTTCCAGTGTGATGGGTCAGTCCTTAGTGATTGTCCATTGGTCAGTTTCACACTGAATGTAGACGGACACACAAATTCACCAATTATACACGGTGAGAAGCAGATGACGTGTATCTCAGCCCCTCTTCATAGCCTCATAACTCCGGATGTGAGTCACATATGATCTCGTGATAAGACGGAATGGAAAGGGCGACTCTGCAGATTCAGGAAACGTTTGAACTGGATAATCACAAGGATACAAAAACAGATTTAGAAACATTGAATTTGGCTTTTGGGCGGGTTCATGATCCCCAAAGGCTTAAGAGAAGTTTTTGGGAAAAAGATTTGTATGACTGTTGACTTCTAGTGTTTGTTAGCAGCGTCAGCCTCCAGTGCTGAACCAAAGAAGCAAAATTTGGGCACTAAACATGTCTTGGCTGATTGACCACATCTGACATAAGTAGAAAATGCTGACATACCAGTCAGTGAAGCACTGTTCATTATTTTAATCAGCCACCAAATGTTCAAATCTGTCGGGCCTCACTGAGGCACTGGGGCAGTTTATGCACTTCCGAACATTTAGTTCACTTTTGTGCCGTTCGGAACGCCGTATGAAGTGAATGGGACTGTAGTGGAGCGAGCGCTGAGTGGGAGATGGACGGTGTGTGTGGGTGAGCTCCTTTGGTATGCAAACTTGCTGAGCTAGTGGACAATAGCCGCTGCCCTCAGCTCTGAGTGTGTGTGTGTCGTTATCTGCCTGAGAGAATGTGAGGAATGTGGGGGGAGGAGAGAGACGAGGTAGAAGAGAGCACAAGATGGTGTCCTTCACACTGTCTGGGTTAACCTGCTGGGGGTTGCCCGGCGTAATCCGTCTGCAGCTTTGAGCAGTTTTAGCTCTGGGTGTCACGTGATAACACCCTTGTTTACTCAGACCTCCAGCATGTTCATGTGGCTACGTAACTGACACGCTACAACCATGTTGACATTACTGTCATTTTTATTCCTGTAATCTTTTACACAAAGCTAGGCTAATGCATGTTGTGTATACATATAAAACATCCAGAAGCCATTAAGCACTTCACTGAAGAACTCCAGCATTTTTCAGCTTAATCTACATCTGCCGTATGTGTAGCATACAGTCAGCATGGACAATACATTTGACACGTTTCTGGACACCTGGAAAGTAACAGAGAACCTGGCGAAACTAGGGATGTCTTGATATGATCCAGTGGAACAGGATCAGAATAAACTAAGACATTTTATCAGTTCCGTTAATCCTGTTCCACTTTGATTTGCATACACTGTTAGAGAGGTCCAACTGTGAACCTTAAAGAAGTTTTTCCAGGTGAAAAGTTCGTATTTGTACCTTTTCATAACCGAATGTTTTAAAACAGTACAATAAAATAAAAGCCTGGAGACGAGACGGGGTGTGTGGAGTCAGTACAACTTAGAAAATATCATTTCAATGGATTATGGTACAGTTATGTTCCCTGATTAAAGCTACTGAGATGTACCCTTGAGGGAACCACCCCCGTGACAAGAGGGGCACTGCAGTAGTAAAAAATGAAAATGAAGTGTTTTAACTAGCACAAAAACCTCATAAGTTAAATGCTTTTTAGTGCTGCAGTTTGGCAAACAATTCAGTGCTTTGTGACTTTCAATGCTTTCCATACTTTCAGTTATCTGTTTAAGGAAGCTAGCATGAGGTTGAGATTGTATACAGCTTGAATTTAAAGTATTGATAAAAAATCATGTACCATCATGCCACATTCTTCACTGGCGACTGGTGTAAAAACAAAAACAGTGATGAAAGGCTCTCTTTTACCAGCTGGTTTATAACGATAATAATAATAATAATAATACTAAGTTCAATTTATAGCGCCTTTAGAAACCCAAGGCCGCTTTATGAAGACATCAAAAAGTAGCAAAGTACTTAATCAACAATGAATAAAACCACACAGAACACACACACAACTAGCCCAGAAAGAGTCCTTTCCGGTGCGGTGCATCACACAGGCAGCCAGCCTGGGAAGCCTCGAAGCCGAAAATATCCTTAGCCAAGAAGGGGTAGCATTTTCCTGCTGGTGAACACCACCAGCCCAGACAGCCTCATAGCTGTGATTAGGGCTGGACAGTTAATCGAAAAGTAATCAAAACCGACATTCAGAACCTCTAACCGACATAATCTTGCCCATGTCGGTAATTTAGATTTTTTTTTATTCCAGTCTGCGACATGGAAGCTAAGGCTGTGTTCACACAGCAGGGATAAGTGGCCCAAATCTGATTTC